GTGTGTCAGAACAGACATTAATAATAGCTTTATTTGAGCATACGCTAGTAAAGACCGAATGTTGTGGGAATATCTGTTCTGCCGTGGCTAGTTGGAGGCCTGCTGTGTTGATTTGTTTTCTCTAGCATCGGCAGCATTAGTGGATTCCCTCCTCTGTCTCGAATCCTCAAGTGGGCACAAATACACATACAGATACAGGATTACCGTCCCTCAGCACAAAGACTGCTACTGTAGCCTGCGCTCAACAGATAAAGCCAACACAATGCCTCTAATAGGTCTCAGAAAGACACCGCATCCAATGTTTTAGACAAATGTATTTGTTTTCATGAAGGATAAGACGTAAATGAGCAGTGTCAGGCTGGGTTACGGTATTGTCGGATGTGAAAGGTATTGTAAATGTGGGATTGAGTGATAATGCTCGTATTCAAACCAGCCAATGGTCCTACACATCTGAGATCTTTGGGACTCTTTCGATTTAATGACTGGGAATCATCCTTTTGCTGTTTCTTTAGTGGGTGCAGTCATCCCTTGAAGATTTCTGGGGTGTTTTTCTTGAGTTTCCCAAAGTTTGTTTGTTTTTCTTGCTTTTGGAGGAGGGATCCTGTTATCCTAAGCGTTCTCACGGCAGTATTCTCTGGAGATTAAGGATTGAACGTCTCAGTGGGACGTCGCTGTGCCGTTTAATTACAAACACCCAATTCTGAAAGCTGTTTCTGTTCGTGTGCTTTCTAATGACTCTCCAAGTATGATTCTTCTGTCATATTTTTTATAATGCTAAAAATAAGATTACGTTTCTTCATGCAGTATATATTCATTATAATGCCATATAGAAGTTTTTTCTCACAAAGACGGCATTTATTTGCTCTAAAATACCGTAAAAACAGTAATACGCAATAATTTTCTATTGTAATATATTTTTTAATGTTTTAAGTTTCACATGATGCTTCATAAATCATTAGCTGGTCAAGAAACATTTTCATATTATCGATGTTAAAACAGTTGTGCAGCTTAATATTTTTATGGAACCGGTGATGCTTTTTTCAAGGTGTTTTTTAACCTCTCAACTGTCACCCATATGAGTTTACTTCACTATATATTACAAATGAATCCTAATCTAATCATGACAAACTATATATCGTTGGAAAGGTCTATTTTACCACAGTTTTTTTGGGTGGTTTTTTTGTTACAAATTATGTAGGAACAGTAATAGAAAAAATATCTACATAATAACAGGAGTTCTGACCTTTGTCACAAAAAGTCTTATATATAAATTAAAACCTCAAAATTCGTCATGTGAAAACCATTTTAAAATCGGACATTGCATTATCATGGAAATTAGTACTTCAAAATCATATTACAAAACGTATTTGTTCATGAATTAAAACAAGTTTGGATAGTGCATTTTATGCAGTATATATTCATTATAATGCCATATAGATTTTTTTTCTCACAAAGACTGCATTTATTTGCTCTAAAATACCGTCAAAACAGTAATATTGTAAAATATCACCATTACTGATAACTGTTTTCTATTGTAATATATTTTATTATGTTCAAAAATAGGGGTGACAGTTAAAGGGTTCAATTAAAATACAAATATTTTTAACATCATGAACATAAATGTAATTACTGTCACTTTCGATCAATTTAATGATTCATTGCTGAATGAAAGTATTAATTTCTTACTGACTAAACTTTTGAGCAGTAGTGTTAATATATTGCATGAATTTTTAGGACCATTATGATATCATTGAGTTCATTTCTCTCCAAATTCCCATTAACAATGCAAAAACTCTCATTCCCAGTATTATGTTCTCATACTGTCATGTGGAAATAACCTATCATTTAAATTCCAAAATTGTAATAATCAGTTACACTTGTGTGTGTATTTTCCTGAAAGCATTATGGTATTAGAAGAGAAAATTTGATGTATTGTCACTACAAAAAATAGATAAATAAAAAAATCCCTCTGACCTTTAAATAGGCTTCATTAAATCAAACGTTTTTTCCCCCTTGTTTTCTGAGGGTTACCCATCTGCACACAATATCACTGATAAACTGCTGATATCTCACTGATATATCTGAAGACGTGCATATGCATGTTTATTTTGTTATTGAAGAAAATGGGTCGGTCTGGCTGACCCAGATAAATGACAACCAGCTCAAATTCTTGCCTCCTTATTTCTGCATCTGTCCTCCTCTTCAACAGAGTCTCAGCCTATATCCCTTGTTTTTTCTTTAGACTTTTAGACTTCAAGGAGCACACAGCAGGCTAGACATGAATTCTTGGGGATCTACACTGCTAAAATCAACATGAAGCACTGTCTTTTCTATATCTTGAGGGATTTCCGAGACCGCTTGTTATCCAAATGATGCATGTTCATGCTGTCGATGCACGTGTTTTTAAACGCCAATCAGGTTATCGCATGCTTGTGCCGTCTGCCCTCTAGAGGTTCAGCATAAAGCGGTCTTGTGTTCTGATTACACCCAAACTCTCATATTTACACACTCCGGGGGGATTGAATTATCCCGAGCACATTAATAATGCATATTGATGAATCGGTCTGTTAGTGTGCTCTGGAGTTGCTTTGGGAACAAGCACCAGGACATCTCTTTCCTACACCCCTCAGTCTTTAACCTTGCCTTCACACAGCCTCTGTTTGTCCTCTGCGGAAGCCACAGCTCCATTGTTAATAGTGAAAGTAATTTTCCTGAGTGCAGAGATCTATGGGATGACAGCAAGTGTCCATCAAAGCTGTCCTAACTCACGGCCCCCTGATAGATGCATGACATGATGGAGCAGACATTGGGCAACACATCAGAGTGAAGTGAGACAACACAGTGACACTCAATAACCATCAGCCATGATTCAAACCACTCGCCTCAACCTGATGTTTGATCTAACATCTGTTTCACTGCACACTCCACAAATGTATGTTTGACCCATTCCATATGGTTTGAAATGTCAGCTACTCAGAGTGTGCAGTAAATAGTAGATAAAACTGAAAAACATAAGAAATAATTATTTACATTTACATTTAGTCATTTAGCAGACGCTTTTATCCAAAGCGACTTACAATTGGGGAAATAATAATAAAACAGTAATAATAAAAATTGGAAAATTGGCTGTCAGGAAACACGAATCATCCTTGCATGTTTCAGAACCAAATGGTAACTGTGAGAATTGTTAACCTCTGAAGTGTAATCGTGCTAACATGGTCTGTGTAGATTTTAGGGTGAATTGAAATAAATGAAACTGAGATTACAGTGGAACTGCCACCCTGTGCACAGAAATCAATCTGTGTGTGTGTGTGTGTGTGTAAAGTAGATTTACAAACATCAATCTGGGCTTACTTTAATTATGCAATCTGTTCAGTAACGGATTTAGCAGGACTTTTGTGCACAGCTGCCAATATTTTCCAGTTTTACTTTTTTTGGCTGGTGATGAGTCTTGCATGCTGTTTAAGTAGTTGTATATTTAAGCCATGATTTAATACTTAAAAAAGCCACAACGATCTACAGATATAATTCTTTATCTGAAAGATATACAGAATTTTGTCTAACTTATCTAAAATAGCATTTACAAGTCTTTTTAATCCTGTTGCAATAAAGATCTTTGACCTTGTCAGTCAGCATAAATCACATGCAAGTTGTATGAGCTTCCTGTCCAGATTGTCAAAATAAGCTCAGTTCTGCCCTCTGTTGATCTAGTTCTTCACGCTGACACAAAATGCTTGTAATTTATCTTTAAAAAAAAGAGATGTAAATGCAAATAAATCATTCTCCATTTAGAAGAGGGTCACTTTACAGCAAAGGAAAAAGAAAATAATTTTTGAGTATCATATAGAGCAGTGATTCTTTTTTTTAGAGCAGTAAATCTTTTCTGTAGTCAGTTTGTGTAGGCCTAGTATCTTTTTTTTACTTGAATGCTACTGTTAAATTTTCTGTAGCTGAAAATAATTAAAATTATATTGTATTTTACCATTTGTTTGTAGTTTGCCGTTTTGTTCTTATTTTTAATGACAAAGTTATTCAACTGAAATAACTATATTGAGATATATTGTTATTGTGAAATAAAATGCAAGGATGGAAAAAAAAAAAAAAAAAAGGCTCATACTAAATAAATATACCAAAATGTGAAAATTTTCACCATCAGAATCTTACAAAGCAAATGAGAGCAAAAATAACTTTTATTTGGCTTTATCTTTTTAGCTAACTTGTGTTGCAAATAGTTCTATACACAAAGCATAACACTCACACTGGCAACAATTCAAATTTTAAATTGCAAGTAATGTTTTTTTTTTAAATTCACATTCTGTCATTTATTATTCCATTTTGGTAAATTATCCAGATAACTTAGTCTGGTATTGTACTGAAGTCATAATTTGTGACAACACTTAGCAGTAGATTTCATTTGAATTGTATGAATAATATTTAAAATTTGAATAATTTTAAGTCATGCTGAGGCCCCCTAGTGGGTCCCAGACACCTGGTTGAGAACCACTGATATAATAGTGATAAGTCAGTACAGTGGCAAATCCAAAACATTTCATATTGATCATCTTTCCTGAAGCTGTATTTAGTTCACTGCGGTGATCCATGAGCACTGCATAACTCATTCTGTTATGTTTTATATATTTTATTTTACACAAAAAGATATGTGGATACCAGAGACATTGTTTGCATGACTCCTGTACAACTTTATGATTGTATAAATGCATTTACTATGGAGACACTTCAGTCATTAGTACCTCAGAGGCACAGAAGTGCAGTCAGTATATAAATACAAGACAGACTCTACAAGATATCCACTCATGGGAGTGGTAGCACTTCCTCTCAGATACAAAGTATCTTAACTTTACGCTGAAAATGCTTAGTAAGTTTAGTTCTTCAGTCACAGACCAGTTTTGGATATTTCAACTGGAGTTTCTCCGCTCTGTTTTCTTTTTTCTTTCAGGGTTCCACTCATGGGAGTGGTAGCACTTCCTCTGAGATACAAAGTATCTTAACTTTATGCTGAAAATGCTTAGTTAGTTCTTCAGTCACAGACCAGTTTTGGATATTTCAACTGGAGTTTCTCCGCTCTGTTTTCTTTTTTCTTTCAGGGTTGCATGCGGATGGCTCCGTCCAAGCGAATCACCTCGCCATTGATCATGGGGTTTTCTGCTATTGCAGTCACAAGGTGTGCAAACTCAGCTGGATCTCCCAGACGTGACGGGAAGGGCACCTGTCTGGCCAGGAAGCTTTGCACTTTCTCAGGTAATCCTGCTAGAAGTGGGGTGGAGAACAGACCTGTAGGGAAAGAAAATGGTATGGAGGATATAACTGAAAAGGTCTCAAAAAAAAGGAAAAATACTGTATTAACTGTGTCCAAACAATAGGGAAGTAGAGATGTACCCTGTAAATCGATAAAAATGTGTGACATTTCAAGTTGGTTGAGATGTTAAATGAATCGCGATACAAGTCAGGGTGTGGTTTTATATGAACGTGTCTCTGATGGCAACTGATTACCTTCAGAAAAAGTTTAGAACGTATTTTATTTTCATCTTGCCTCTGTATAATGTGTATTGAAGTAGTGTTTATAAGCACAGCGCTGCTTTGTTTACAGTAGTAACCAAGGAAATGCTGTATCGCTGCTGTTCCATAAGCGCCACCTGCTGTCAGAGAGTGAATTTGCGTTCTCATTCAGTCTGTCTGCTTTTATGTGGTTTTATGTAGCATAATTTCATAAAAGAGTTAAAGAGTTCGATTCTCATGCTAAACATGGCCAAAGTGTCAAAAAACGATTTGAACATATGATGGAGTAATTCTGTGTCAAATACACTCCTCCTGGGTTCGTATAAGTTTCGGAAAGTGTTTTTTCGAGCATGGCCCTTCATGACGACATGAAGGGCGGATTTCCTTGTATGGGCATTTCTCCTGTAAGAGCGAACGGTGACCGGAGCGAGAGTGAGAGCGAGCGGATGGATGTGAGGGAAAGATTACCTTGTTCAGCTTCCCAAAGAACCCAGCGTTACATGAACAGTGGATGCAGTTTGTTTTTCCAGGGCATCAATGGAGTTTCGCAAGTGTTTATTTGTTCCCGTCATTTCGGTGACGAATGTTTTATAAACAAGGCCCAGTCTGGTGCTGGATTTGGAAACATCGTTTGATACTGAAAATGGAGCGGTCCCAGGAATAAAAGATCCCGGTCATGATTCGGAACCGGAGAGGTAAGTGAAACTGCATCAAATTTCTGCGTTTTGTTGGCAATTGGTGTGCAAGTTCTCGTGACTCTTTAGTTCCACCCACGGTGCACCTCCAGGAGCTCAGCTGTTTTCGGAGAGAATCGTAAAGCTGTATCTTTCTTTTATAAATATGATAAAACTAAAGACTCTTTGGAGATATGAAGGATGCAATACTATTCTATATGTACTCAAGTTTAACATGAGATTGGGCAAAGCTGTGTGTTATGTCCCCTTTAAAAAAAAATCCAAGCCAGGAAAGAGCACATGCAAAGCCTTAGTTTAAGTTTTTATATGAATGATTTATTTTATTTGTATTATTTATTTATTTGATTTGGGATTTTTCTAAAATTTCAATTTATTTTTGTTATTGGACAAAAGATATTTCAATTTCACAAAGAAATGTGCAAAAAATAAAATGTGAGAAAATCTGAGTGAATCGTTATATCCCTATCAAACAATGAATTTTCATAGAGCAATGATGGGACACAATGAAAAGCTCATTCCATTTAGAAACAAAATATGCATCTCTGGGACACTGACCTGGGGCAATGGTGACCACACGGATCCCCATTGGTGCAAGGTCTCGAGCAATAGGAAGTGTCATACCCACAATCCCACCTTTAGATGCAGAGTACGCAGCTTGACCCACCTTAAAAAGACAACAAAACACATTACAAAACCTGCAGTGATGCAGTGTCATAAATCTGTAAGGTTAAAGTACACTACTGTTAAAAAGTTTGGGTAAGAGTTGTCTTATTCACACACCAAGGTTTTTTCTTTGATAAAAAAAAACACAGTAAAAACAGTAATTTGGGGAAATATTATTACAATTTAAAATAACTAATTTCTATTTTAGAAATTAGCTATTTTTTTTCTTTTTTAATGTAATTTATGCCTATGAAAGCAGAATTTTCAGCATCATTACTCCAGTCTTCAGTGTCACATGATCCTTCAGAAATCATTCTAATATGCTGCTCGTGAAACATGTATTATTATTATCAGTGAAAAGAAAGTTCATTGAACAGCATTTATTTGAAATAGAAATCTTCTGTAACATCATAAATGCCTTTACTGATCAACGTACAACTTTATGATTGTATAAATGCATTTACTATGGAGACACTTCAGTCATTAGTACCTCAGAGGCACAGAAGTGCAGTCAGTATATAAATACAAGACAGACTCTACAAGATTTCCACTCATGGGAGTGGTAGCACTTCCTCTGAGATACAAAGTATCTTAACTTTATGCTGAAAATGCTTAGTTAGTTCTTCAGTCACAGACCAGTTTTGGATATTTCAACTGGAGTTTCTCCGCTCTGTTTTCTTTTTTCTTTCAGGGTTGCATGCGGATGGCTCCGTCCAAGCGAATCACCTCGCCATTGATCATGGGGTTTTCTGCTATTGCAGTCACAAGGTGTGCAAACTCAGCTGGATCTCCCAGACGTGACGGGAAGGGCACCTGTCTGGCCAGGAAGCTTTGCACTTTCTCAGGTAATCCTGCTAGAAGTGGGGTGGAGAACAGACCTGTAGGGAAAGAAAATGGTATGGAGGATATAACTGAAAAGGTCTCAAAAAAAAAGGAAAAATACTGAATTAACTGTGTTCAAACAATAGGGAAGTAGAGATGTACCCTGTAAATCGATAAAAATGTGTGACAATTCAAGTTGGTTGAGATGTTAAACGAATCGCGATACAATTCAGGGTGTGGTTTTATATGAACGTGTCTCTGATGGCAACTGACTACCTTCAGAAAAAGTTTAGAACGTATTTTATTTTCATCTTGTCTCTGTATAATGTGTATTGAAGTAGTGTTTATAAGCAGAGCGCTGCTTTGTTTACAGTAGTAACCAAGGAAATGCTGTATCGCTGCTGTTCCATAAGCGCCACCTGCTGTCAGAGAGTGAATTTGCATTCTCATTCAGTCTGTCTGCTTTTATGTGGTTTTATGTAGCATAATTTCATAAAAGAGTTAAAGAGTTCGATTCTCATGCTAAACATGGCCAAAGTGTCAAAAAACGATTTGAACATATGATGGAGTAATTCTGTGTCAAATACACTCCTCCTGGGTTCGTATAAGTTTCGGAAAGTGTTTTTTCGAGCATGGCCCTTCATGACGACATGAAGGGCGGATTTCCTTGTATGGGCATTTCTCCTGTAAGAGCGAACGGTGACCGGAGCGAGAGTGAGAGCGAGCGGATGGATGTGAGGGAAAGATTACCTTGTTCAGCTTCCCAAAGAACCCAGCGTTACATGAACAGTGGATGCAGTTTGTTTTTCCAGGGCATCAATGGAGTTTCGCAAGTGTTTATTTGTTCCCGTCATTTCGGTGACGAATGTTTTATAAACAAGGCCCAGTCTGGTGCTGGATTTGGAAACATCGTTTGATACTGAAAATGGAGCGGTCCCAGGAATAAAAGATCCCGGTCATGATTCGGAACCGGAGAGGTAAGTGAAACTGCATCAAATTTCTGCGTTTTGTTGGCAATTGGTGTGCAAGTTCTCGTGACTCTTTAGTTCCACCCACGGTGCACCTCCAGGAGCTCAGCTGTTTTCGGAGAGAATCGTAAAGCTGTATCTTTCTTTTATAAATATGATAAAACTAAAGACTCTTTGGAGATATGAAGGATGCAATACTATTCTATATGTACTCAAGTTTAACATGAGATTGGGCAAAGCTGTGTGTTATGTCCCCTTTAAAAAAAAATCCAAGCCAGGAAAGAGCACATGCAAAGCCTTAGTTTAAGTTTTTATATGAATGATTTATTTTATTTGTATTATTTATTTATTTGATTTGGGATTTTTCTAAAATTTCAATTTATTTTTGTTATTGGACAAAAGATATTTCAATTTCACAAAGAAATGTGCAAAAAATAAAATGTGAGAAAATCTGAGTGAATCGTTATATCCCTATCAAACAATGAATTTTCATAGAGCAATGATGGGACACAATGAAAAGCTCATTCCATTTAGAAACAAAATATGCATCTCTGGGACACTGACCTGGGGCAATGGTGACCACACGGATCCCCATTGGTGCAAGGTCTCGAGCAATAGGAAGTGTCATACCCACAATCCCACCTTTAGATGCAGAGTACGCAGCTTGACCCACCTTAAAAAGACAACAAAACACATTACAAAACCTGCAGTGATGCAGTGTCATAAATCTGTAAGGTTAAAGTACACTACTGTTAAAAAGTTTGGGTAAGAGTTGTCTTATTCACACACCAAGGTTTTTTCTTTGATAAAAAAAAACACAGTAAAAACAGTAATTTGGGGAAATATTATTACAATTTAAAATAACTAATTTCTATTTTAATATTTTAAAATGTAATTTATGCCTATGAAAGCAGAATTTTCAGCATCATTACTCCAGTCTTCAGTGTCACATGATCCTTCAGAAATCATTCTAATATGCTGCTCGTGAAACATGTATTATTATTATCAGTGAAAAGAAAGTTCATTGAACAGCATTTATTTGAAATAGAAATCTTCTGTAACATCATAAATGCCTTTACTGATCAACGTAATGCAGCCTCAGTAAAAGTATTTCTTAAAATAAATAAAAGACATCTTACAGACCCTAAACCTTTGACGTTAGTGTATAGCTGATATACCTGTCCATCATAAGCAGCAACACTGGCTGTGTTGATGATACAGCCTCTGTGTCCATCTGCATCAGGCTCATTCTTTCCCATCTCCCCTACAGCCAGTCTGATCACATTAAAAGTCCCAGCGATGTTCACCTTTAACAGATCAAATTCAAAAAAACATTATAATATATGCAATAACATGGCATTACCTGTCTTCAGATTTCACCTATCTCAAAAGAATGGATGCTTAAGAGAAATAATAGTGATAAACTTTACAGTGAAAAAAGACAGCTGCTATAGGATATTTAAAATAGTCATCATTTGTAGAAATATGAACCAGTGTCATGAGGTTCAGGCAGCACTGTAAATACAGTGAGGCTTACAGTGATAACACGAGTGAAGTCCTCCAGACTGTGAGGAAGGTCCTTCTTAAAGTTGTATGTTTTCACAGCCACAGCTATCCCAGCACAGTTCACCGCCAAGTCCACTTTGCCAAACTTCTCCTTGGCCAAATCCACAGCCGATCTCACATCTGACTCCGACGTGACCTGAATTAAAAAACAAAAACCCAATCAGAATAAACTAACAAATAGTTCATATATTCAAATCAAGCACTGCTCCCTAAAAGAGCAAGAAGAGAAAGGGGAAAATGTCAAAAGGTCATTAACAATAAGTGTCACTCACATCAGTAGGTGCAAATGCACAATGGTCTCCGAGAGCAGCAGCCACCTTGTGTCCATCTGAGCTGGGCAGGTCCAGGATCACAGCGCTGGCCCCCTGACTGATGAGCCGCTCCACAGTGGCTCTGCCCAAACCAGAGGCCCCTCCTGTCACCAGACCTACCATACCCTGCCACACAGTCAGTAAGGTCACACTGGAACACAGCCTGCATGGAGCTTGGTCAGGTTTCATTATACAACAAACACAATTCAGTCATGGCTCAACTGTAATATGCTGCAAAACAATGAGGTTTAAGCCTACAGCACCAGATTTTAAGAATAATGTAATAAGCAAGAGTAAAGCTGGTTAATCGCCATTGTTTCCAATGTTTACATATCTATCAATCACTCTCATAACTGCACAGAAGTTCCCCTGAAGTAGTTAGCGCTGCGGCTACAGCTTCAAAATATGGTGAGAAGAAGTGGAATACAACCACACAACGACGTGCAGACTAAAGCGAGCTGCAAAGCAATCTTGAAATATTGAAGTTCAGGACAGACGACTTTTTTGAGCCAGTACATTTCTATTAATTCATTCAATTTCCCTCTCACCTTGACACTTCTGATGTTCGCCATATTCTCACGCTGTAGCTGCTTGGGTACCAGCGGTGACGTTACTCTGCGGCCCAATCAGAAATACGGGCACGACAGCGCCCTTTACGCCGATTGGCTAGTTAATTTGATTGACAACGTCGTAGGAAGTCGCGCGCCAGTCGGTGATCATTCGGAATTAGCAGCGACCTACATTTAATAGATTGATCCGCTAAAGGTCTCAAAACATTTCTACATCTGATTATTCGATTTGTGCAGTATTTCTCACCTTAATTCTATTGCTGAATAGTCTTTACCTCAAATATTAAATCACGGCATATTGTATTTTCCTCTTGTTTCTAATTTGCAGTTAGAAAAAAATCATAATCCAGAAAGGATTATGTGTTTATGAAACACATGAGAATGAAATTAAATTGTACTCCTGTTTAAAATGTGCTTCTGATTACAGATGTGATTGGGATTACACAAGATTTGTATTTTAAAGACAACCAGTTCAAAGGGAGCATAATTAGCTTTTTGGGTTCAAATAATTTCTTAATATGAAATTCATATGGTATGACAATTAGAGATTAGACTGTACAGAAATTGAAATCGACACACTAATACAAACTATAGGCAATGCTGATGTTGTTAACATTAATAATTTGATAAAGTATAACAATAATAATTTGCATGGTTTGATGTGATATGAGCTAACAGATCTTTTGATTACATCACCATTGATACAAATGGTGATACAAAGGACAAAAAATTCTTTGACCAGTGTTGGGAAGAAAGTTACATGTAACTAAATTACGCAATTTAATAACAAAATTAATGATTAGACTGTACAGAAATTGAAATCGACACACTAATACAAGCTATAGGCAATGCTGATGTTGTTAACATTAATAATTTGATAATAAAGTATAACAATAATAATTTGCATGGTTTGATGTGATATGAGCTAACAGATCTTTTGATTACATCACCATTGATACAAATGGTGATACAAAGGACAAAAAATTCTTTGACCAGTGTTGGGAAGTAAGTTACATGTAACTAAATTACGCAATTTAATAACAAAATTAATGTAATTGTAATCAGTTACAGTTACTGAGAAAAAAATGTGTAAATTAAATTAAAGAAATTTATGAAAATGTTAACAATTACACCGGGGGTAACATCAGAATTTTTTTTTCACACACACACATCCACATATGTACAGGTTTAGAAAACATACAGATTTCTTTCATAAATTGCATTGACTGCTCTAAAATATGAGACAATGTTTCAGGAGTTTAGGACACAGAATAGGACACATGCTCCTTTGATAACTGTTTTATTTCCTATTTGGGATTATGTATATGCTTTATTTTTTAATATTAACTGTTTTTTATTCCAAGGTGTTGATGCTAGTGTTTCCTGTCATAACTATGCAAAGATTTGATTTCAAAAACAGTATCATAGCTATTAAACTATTTCTTGTTATGATTTTAAATCTTAAAGTTACATGTAACTAAATTACGCAATTTAATAACAAAATTAATGTAATTGTAATCAGTTACAGTTACTGAGAAAAAAAATGTGTAATTAAATTAAAGAAATTTATGAAAATGTTAACAATTACACCGGGGGTAACATCAGAATTTTTTTTTCACACACACACATCCACATATGTACAGGTTTAGAAAACATACAGATTTCTTTCATAAATTGCATTGACTGCTCTAAAATATGAGACAATGTTTCAGGAGTTTAGGACACAGAATAGGACACATGCTCCTTTGATAACTGTTTTATTTCCTATTTGGGATTATGTATATGCTTTATTTTTTAATATTAACTGTTTTTTATTCCAAGGTGTTGATGCTAGTGTTTCCTGTCATAACTATGCAAAGATTTGATTTCAAAAACAGTATCATAGCTATTAAACTATTTCTTGTTATGATTTTAAATCTTTATTTAACCTCAGAACGATCACAAAGTGAAAAGAGGTGTTAAAGTCTGATTTTGTGGTGGCTGTGCTATAACCTCTTGAGACCTGGCAAAACATTTTAGAAAAAAATGAGTATTTGTTTTCATGTCATTGCATTGTTTTAGAGCATTAAAAAAATTAAAAATAATATTTCATTCATAAGTTATGCTACGTCCTTGGTAGAGGACATCGGGACTCAATAAAAAAAAAATAATAATAAAAAGACATGAATGAACATACATAGCCAATAACAATTGATTTTTTTTAAATCACCAATACATTTTTAGTTTTCAGGATTTTTTTTGACCAAACTTTGTATAAAGATAATTCTCAACTATGTTATAACAGAATGATTTGATATACCATTTTTCTTTCTGCAAAATGTGTGTAAAATGGCCATAAACAGGTTTTCTTGTTATATATTATGTATCTATAAACTAAATCTAATTTGCATATTAATGTGTTTTTGGGGCAACGTAATGAAAAAAGAAGTGTAATAATGGGAGTAATAATTGACAAGATTTTCATAATATTTCATAGGAATATTTAACCCTGTAATACCCAAATATAGAAAAAATTTAGCAATTTTTTTTGACCTCTCAGATATTGTTTTAGGAGGCCTCTGATGTAGAAATTAAAGATTTTTCAAATTTTAGTACGTTTTTAGGGAAATGTAATATTGCAACGTTGGCCCTAGTTAGGAGCAGAATTTCTGTATTTGTACTCACTTTGTCTGAACAGATATACAGAGCATTTAAGCATTAATTTGCAGGGTTGATTGCTTACTTAGTCCCATAACAGTATATATCATGAGTAATAATCACACAACAATCATATTTTATTATGAATAAGCATTTATGAATAAAAATATTGAAAAAAATTGCATTTATAAAACTTTTTCTTTCAATGTGGTTTGAATGAAGTCTGTTTACTTGCAGTGAGTCCCTAAAACACTTATTTTCATCTGAGAAGCACAGGCGAACAGTGTGTTTGTGTATCCATTATTGCAGTCTTACTTAAAACTGTGGCATGTATAGTCTCAGAGAAATTCACTAAAATATAATGTCCTCATATGAGGATGCAGGGTCTCAGGAGGTTAAAATTAAATTATTATAATCTTAATCTTAAATTATTATATTATAATCTTAAAGTCTGACAGTAATCAGTGCTGAGAACTACTGTAAGGTTAACCCTGCCAAGTTTACATATTTGAAAATGATTAACAGTTGAAAACATTAGAAATGTAAAAAAGGAATCAAAAAGGAATCAAATGTATTGTTACATTACTTTAGTAAAAGTAATTGAAATAGTTACACTACTTATTACATTTTAAATAGGATAACTTGTAATCTGTAACCTATTACATTTCCAACGTAACGTTCCCAACACTGTCTTTGACAAAGACTCATACAAAACAAACATGCATTACATACCTTCCGCCTTAAGATTGGCTCAAGGTTGCCTAAAAAAAACTCACCTTGGGAAGAGATTTTATAAGTCTAATTTAATTTAGGAATAGTAAAAATCACATAATATAGGTCCTAAATCATTACTGATAAAGTGAATTGAGGAACGAGACACAACTGTGTCGATTTCATTTACTTTTATAAATAACAACAGGTGTAAACAAAATAATAACAATCACACAAGATACACATACAGGTGCATCTCAAATTAGAATGTCGTGGAAAAGTTCATTTATTTCAGTAATTCAACTCAAATTGTGAAACTCGTGTATTAAATTCAATACACACAAACGGAAGTAGTTTAAGTCTTTGGTTCTTTTAATGGTGATGATTTTGTCTCACATTTAACAAAAACCCACCAATTCACTATCTCAACAAATTAGAATATTGTGACATGCCAATCAGCTAATCAACTCAAAACACCTGCAAAGGTTTCCTGAGCCTTCAAAATGGTCTCTCAGTTTGGTTCACTAGGCTACACAATCATGGGGAAGACTGCTGATCTGACAGTTGTCCAGAAGACAATCATTGACACCCTTCACAAGGAGGGTAAGCCACAAACATTCATTGCCAAAGAAGCTGGCTGTTCACAGAGTGCTGTATCCAAGCATGTTAAATGAAAGTTGAGTGGAAGGAAAAAGTGTGAAAGATAACTGGCAGTGAACAATCACATACCATAGCAATCTAGTTACAGCATATCGGATAGTGACAGGGCAGTTTGAATTCTGACCACCAATTATTTACACATCTATAACCATTCAATAAAGACCACATGAATTAAATCAAGATCATCAGTTATGACCATCAATATTTTTATTTGTGGGCTAAGCTATAGTAATTTGTACAATGAGACAATCACCAATGATCTACTATTTCTTTACACACTCAGAAAGCACACAGTACAAAGATGCATAATATATTCAGCTATCCCACAAATCCCATGTGAAGGTACGTCATTGGTGTATCTGATGTGAGGGAGCAGCTGTGAGAAAGACAGTAGGCTGTATAGTTATCTCCCAGATCTGGTGTGATCCCAAACTATACAAACTACTACCTCATTCCACAGCCCTCTGTCTGGTACCCTGCGGGAGGAGAAGAGAGGCAGAAAGACATGTCAGTGCTAGAAATAAAATGCTTATTTGTGCTATTTTTACTCTAAATGAGCCACCTTTGCAATTGCTAATTTGATTTCTATAAATCGCAGTGAAAGCTGTCTGTCGTCATCATGCCTTTAACCCAGTATTAACCTTCCTCAAACATCCACACCATGAGTGTGGGCAGATTTCTGGCACTACAACTCATCTTTTGAAATGTGAGTCATGATATACCATGAACAACAAAGAGATTGCACAAAATGGATCAAGGATCTGGTGCTCTGCGGCATTTGATGTGATTAATGTGCCACTTACATGTGCTCATTATTGAATCTTAAAGAGCACTGGCAAAAAATCATGAATGCTGCATATTAAATATTGATTTACAATAATATATTATGCATTACAATATATGCACAACTAGATTTCACTGCATGACTGTGTCCCTGTTTATATGCATTATGCAGTGCACTGCATTTGTAAAGATGATGCAAGAAAGGAAATAGCTGTGTCAATATGTATTAGGACCAAGTGAAATTAAGCAATGATCTCAACCAATATGGAAACGTTTTTCATACTTTACAAAATAGTATATATGCAAACACACAGTGGTCCCTTAAATATGCATCCCTGTTGGAAAATCCAGCTTAAGCTGCTGGCTGAGTTATATAACATTTTTACTGGTTTCTTCTTGTTTGTTGCCAGTGCAATGATGGTCTACCAGTTTGCATCAGCTAGAATCAAGCTGACATGCTCCACATCTCATCTACCATCTTAAACTGTATTTTCCAGCAGGGATGTGCACGTTTGAGCAACGCAAGTCTCAAACATCTTTGCATCAAAATAATATGCATTTGAACTGAATGCCAGAGCTGATGATGACTGTCCACATGGTCTACTATTATTGAAACCCATCCATACTAGCTCAGTACTTGTGTCTCAGGAATCAACAGCTGGCAAAGGCATGATAATGCATGTCAGTCTGATGTGTTTGAATCACAAGAGGCGTTTCGACTGTCAGGCCGCCAGATTCACTTTATCGTGACAAGCAGAGACACGCGTGCGATTATCAAGTGTTTTATCGAGAAATTGCAGCTTTACAATTCAAATCGACAGCCTAACTTGATTGACTTGACGCTTGAAATGGAGCATTCTTGTCGGCTAATATTTCAGAGGAAATTGTAGACACTCATGCATGATCTACTCCGCTTTTCTCATAACATTATGATCATATACGCTGATATTATAGTTATGCTATCAAATACGAAAAATGGCGGTTGCCTCACTAGTGCGCCCGGTATGATGACCAATAAATTGCATGCTAAAACAAACCTAGTCGTCATATTAAACTGAAATGCGTCTAGGCAAAAGCGAGACAGAATGCAAATGTAGCGCCAGTGTTCACGGTGACTGCGCCAATGACATTTCAAAGAAGGAACGTGTTGTTTCGCTCACCTGAGACCGCGACTGTACATGATACCGCCATCTTACATCAGCGGCAAGAACAGAGATATACCAGCTGCTGCAGGCACGCACATCTACCCCTGAGGTGACCTGCCCCTCGAGTGATCCGATCCGCCTTCCATTCAGATCACGACTGCATAACTAAGTGGACTACAAAGTGTGCAGTTAAGCAGTGGCTGTCACAACCTGAACGAGAGAAAACTGCAGCATCTTTTGAAAATGTTATGCTTAGAAATATGAATAAACGGACATTCCACGAACAAAAAATAGACTTGTGATTTGATTGCCTAATTATTTTTATAGCCTACATGTTTTTAATAAATTGTTACATTTTATTCAAATTTTAGGATATTTCAGGCAGGATATTTAGCTACGAATACATTTAGTTGTTAGTTGTGACAATTAACAGTAAGGTACTATGATGATGAACAAACAAAAATGATTAAACAATGGTATATTTACCATAAGTCTGGGGTAGTTTTAATAGTATTTTTTAAAATATGTAATTTATTCATGCGATGCAAAGCTGAATTTTCAGTATCATTTTACTCCAATCTTCAGTGTCGCATGATCCTTCAGAAATCATCCTAATATGAAGTCCGTCCTCAAGAAACGTATTATCATCAATGTTGAAAACAGTTGAGCTGATTAATATTTTTTATATATTCCATTGGCGAATAAAGATAAAAGGAACATTTATTTGAAATATTTTTTTCTGACTTTGTCTTACATTTTTGATCAAATTAATGCATCCTTGCTAAATATACTTTAATTAAAATCTTTTTAACTGTAGTCCACATTAATAATTCGGTGTGCATGATACCTAACCCTAATTTTACAAGTCTTACTTTTTCAGTTACAACCCAGAAGCCGTATTTCCTTTAACAGAAAACATGGTAGTATAATGCTGAATGTCTTTCAAATAAACAGGAAAATAAAAACAATAACTCCTGTTTACTAAAAGAATAAATTTTATTTCAGCACTGTAAGTCATTTCCCAACCATACAAACATGACTGCCAACTTTGACTCTCTCTCTCTCTCATAGCCTTTTGGCTTGCTTCCCAATCCACTGTGAAATCAGACCACAACAGCAAGACAAATTAAAAAGAAAAAGTTTCTTTCCAAAACAATCAGGTGCTTTCTTTATACTAAAACTGAGAAATTGTTAATAACGATCATAACCATAACAGCAATAATAATAATGAACTTTACCCTTCACTTCACAAGTTTTTTGGAGCTTTTGGAGATCTTGATGCATGCATCAATGCGTTTGTGTTGATGAACGGATCGGTTTTCCAAGAATAGACGACAGAATGTGTTGCCTACAAATGGATGTCTCGACTTGACGGTCTTGGGGGCACATGCTAAAAAGCAAAGAGGACGAGATATAGAGGCTACGTACTTCCAGAAAATGTAGGATGTCTGCGGCCCACTGTACACAACACATTGCTGTTATCAGACTAGGATCGAAACGGGACCAGTGGGCCTGTGGAGTGAAGGGCGACAGAGCCAGGATACAGGGGTAACAGTTATAAAGCAAGAGTCAGATCTGAGGTCCAGACACAAATCTACAGGAATGCACAGGCAAAACTCTTTACCAAAATAGCTGTTGTGTGTGTGTGTGTGTGCGCACGCATGGGTACAGTATGTGTTCACACTTAACCTATCCATGACTACATTGAAGCTACATTTTTCAGAGGGACGATACATGTGCATGGGAGCTGCAGAAGTGTTCTAGGGTTAATCGCTATGAAGAGCTGTGTCTAAGGCTCCACTTGAGAGGAAATAAAGAAATCTTCATTTTAGCAATGAAACTGGACGATACAAGATTTAGCCACTGTTCACCAAAAAGATGTAAACATCATATTTTCTTCATTTAGTATCTGATTACGGACCCCTTGCGTATTCTAATAGCTCAATTACTGAAAACACGTAGCTGTATAATCATATATACAGGATCCAGAAAGAGAATCAAGACTGTTAACTATATACTGGAAAAGCAGTTTCCAGAAATCAACTTTGGTTCAAAATTAATGTTGCACAAATGTGTATTAGTCTGCTTTGTGTGCAAGGAAGCAAAATTTGCTCAAAATAATTCAGCTTTAAATTGACAATTTTAAAGAGACTGAAAAACACAATATGTTATTTCTACGAGTGACAATTACATCATAATGGTGAAGTGGTCTGAAATGATACCATACAAAATAGAGGCGAGGAAAATTGCAATCATTACATTTGAAAATATCTAGTCATCTCTGCTAAGCAAATTTGAATACTAAATGTAGCAACGGTCAAAGGAGTAGCTGTTGTAACATTAAAAAAGGAAGAAAAACACAATTTCACAACTGAATGAAACCAAAGATGGTAAGGTTAAATTTCTCGATTCACTGTTGAAAATGTTAACAACTTTTGTCTAAGATTACTTGCAGACAGATTATTAGACTAATTATAAAAGTTAAAATCTCTCACTGTTAGTATGAAAATGTAAGGAGAGTTGCAGCGGGGGAAACAAAGGCAAGAATAAAAGAATGAACAGATACAAGAGCCAAGAAGAGGGAGAACACAAACTTATTGTGACTGTGAATGTCCATGGCCCATAAAACTGTGAAAAAGGGGATGGAAAAAAAGAAAAGGGAAGACATTGAGATTTGCATTTGTGACCAAATGTTTTAACGGTTTTATCAAGACCAGCATCTGGAGTAAAACAGCGCCATTCTAACAACCTCACTGATCTCCAGAGCATCCTTCTCATTCAACCCAAATATTATCCACTACATATTTCTATATTTTACTCTCACATGAATCTCCATAAATGTCTGAATGAGAGTTAAAGCAGCAATCTAGAACAGAGCAAAGCAGAGAAGCTTTGGAGAGGGTAACTTTGGAACCAAGCATCTGAAACTGCAAATTCAGTAAAAGAAATTAACACACTGGACAATACATTAATATCTGAATATGCCAAAGTTTTGTACTATTTTTTTTTCTCCCTCATACTAACTGATGTCTCTCTACAGGTATAACAAAGGTGCTGTGTGTATGTGCGAGAGAGAGATTATATCTTTATTTGGTGTGTCTGTATATTTCGGCTTATGCTGTTCCTTTCTTAGATTACACTTATAACTAAATGTGAAGGAGTTACTGATACTCTATGACAAACACACTGAGAAAAAAACCCAACTAACTGAAACGGCTGTTAATCACAGATCAAAAAGGACTGATTGTTTTAAAAAGATCTACTGTTATTCGGAGAAAACCGAAATTCCATTAGCAGGTGCGTATGCATTTTCATATGCACTAACATACTGGAGATCCTCTCTTGAAAACTAACACTACTGTACTTAACTCGTAATAAATGTGACAACCTAAGGTTGAGGTTTGAAATGCTCTAGCGTGCATGACGGTGTAGCGTGTTAGTTCACGAACACTACCTGTCACGCTACAGTCAAGATTCTTCTTGGTTTAAAGTCTGTCCGGTATGTCCAGTATTTTCATATTTTGACACCGATATATCAGTAATTTTTTTACTTATTTTATAGCAAACTGCATTAACAATGCATGCTTCAGGTCATCATGATATTTCTGACGGGCTGATCTGTCTGGATTCCTCAAGAGTGAGAATTTGCAGAATATACATAGACATGTAACTATAATGGGTGTCTTCCATAATCTGCCTTAAAGAGCTTTCGATATACTTTTAGTGGCACTAAATATAATATTAACTTCTTAACAAAATAAGGTGCATTTTATAACTTCAATAGAAAGCTGTGATGTAATCTTGACATTGTCAATTGTACAGATCTTAAACTATGATTAAATGCAATAGCCTCTCTCAAGTGTATTAGTTCTTCTTAAAATTAAATTCTCATTCATTACGTCCAACAAATCATTGGTACAAAACATGTATTTTGTTTTTAAAATGCATTTAAAACATTAACATGTAAGTAAAATTAATCTCCTAACCATCTGATGCAAAACGGTCCATATAACGGCAAGCGCGGCTTTAATCTTCAGGGGGTTTCGTTCGTTTTCATTTTAAAGTCTATTCGCCTCAATAGAAGTAATGTTTTGAACAGAAGTGCATGAGTTCATAGGACTGTCACAAAAACAAGACGAGACGGACTGATCACGAAACAGTCTGGTGAAGCACAGACTCTTTTTTTTTTTTGCTTTTTAAATGACTTTGCCACAATAAAAGGTGATCCTAAGGTTCTTTAGATTCATTTCTTTCGAGCGTAAATAAACTACAATGATTTTAGCGATGGTGAGAGAACGCACATGTACAAAAAGCATTCACATGGTACACATGCACAAGGCACAGAGGAGACGTGAACAACGAGGGGCGGAAAAAAAGAGCTGCTAAAACCCGAAAGCAAAATGTTGTGAAGCAGAGAGATGTCAAATGGCAGGTTTGTCTGAGGGACTGTGTGCATTCTCGACCACTGATAAAATCACTCCCCTTAATCATGTCATTGCGTAACAGGATCATGTACATTTGGGTCTATATACAAATGGCTGGGATGTCAAACAGTATCACGGTTCCCTCCGAACACACTGCTTCCTCCCTAACTCTGCCAGAGGCCTCGATTTTCTTTATCCTGGTTCGAGGACAACCCAGTGTGTTTTCGGTTTTAAAACAAAGTGCAACTCTGACGCACTCTGTTCTCACATTCAAATGGGTTGGTGTTGATTTGTACGTCATACTGGTAAACAACACGCAAGGTAAAGTGTATCTGGACAGTTAAACTGTCAAAAGAAATGACGGCCTGCTGCTTAATAAAAGGACTATCATAAATAATCTTTTAAGTGCTTTACGTTACAATACAATACATTTTTAAGGAGGCATTTCTATAATTTCGGGCTTAAGGTGCTTTAAATATTTCGACTTTAGAACTACTTGAGTACTGCTGTGAATGTATTTCTTCCTCAGTCGAGGGAGGGGGCTTGCATATGTATAATTTCGGGCTTAAGGTGCTTTAAATATTTCGACTTTAGAACTACTTGAGTACTGCTGTGAATCCTCAAGGGGATGTGGGCCTAAAAGAAGATTGTCTACATGTGAGAGAAAGCAACAGAGGAGAGCTAGCTATGCGATGCAGATTGTAACCTGTACGAATCTTTCCCTCGCCGTTACTCAAACACGCCTCTCTGAGCCTGGACTTCTCGGGCCGCCCGTGGCCCCTGTGCTGAAGACAATAGCAATTTCTCCACATGCAAATCACTCTTTGATAAGATAATATGCAAAGAAAAACAAAGGGACTACCATGTGTGTGTGAATGCACACTGTGACATACAAATACAACCCGCGTTCCCCGTCAGTTTCCACTCTTCTACTATATTCAGGGCAGTGTTGATTTGAATCCTCCCCTATGTGGTACACTGCAGATACAGCCATGTGTAGTACAAATAGTGTGATTCTTTGCTGTGTGGTGGAAACTTTAGAGCAGGTGCTGCTGTGCTACTTGACACGTGCAAGTATTTCGAGTAGGTCAATTTTCAAATACATTTTGGGCAATAGGGGGCTTTTCGTAGCCATTTTAGGCAATCATACATATAAGGTCACCGTCAATGTACTAAGGTCTGAAAAGGAAACGGTGTCGAAATAAAAAGACTCGAGAGCTTTTCACGATGCTACAACACTGATGGGCCCAGTGGAAAGGATGAGGTCCAGAACCCGAAGATTCAGGGCGATGTGCAATCGAGGGTTGTGATTTAAACTCGCTCAGTTTTAAACCAGACCCAGCTTAAGGTGACACATAGACCGCATTCCTGACACTGTCCATCTGTCGTTTCCAGCATGTGCAGCATCATAAATTATACCATGACAACACAAAGTGGCTACTGTGCCCTAAATATTCAATTTTGCAAGGAAAAGGCAGTCGACCTTAGATCAATCCCTCTCACTCTCTCATTCTTATTACATTATGGGATGTAATTACTCCTCTTTCTGTAGTGCACCATCTGATGGGCAGTCGTCAAGGCAACAAGGGGCCTCTACCTCCACCCCATCTCCTGACTGGTTGTCTCTGCTGGCTAAGGCACACTGGATTGGCTGGGCCAGTGGTGGCAGGTCAAGAGCTTGACCAGTGGCGCTTCCTGAAGAGCTGCCGTTCAGCTGCTGCGACGCGGTCCCAGTTCCCTCCGTGGGCCGCTCCACCGCATTAGCGTCCTCTGTGAGTTTTGCGGGGCTGGAGGGTGGTGAAGAGGACAGAGTCTACGAGAAACATTGGGAGAAAGAGAAGGAAAAAAAATTAATCTCCTCGCTCACATTTAGCATTTAGCGTGAAAGTTATGCATCAGACTGACCTGTGTTCTGTTGGTGGTCAATTTCTTCCCTCCCCTTCCTTTCACTGTCAATTCTTTACCCCTTCTGGGAAACAACAAAAAAAGATTAGATGTTATAAATACAGTGGGTACGGAAAGTATTCAGACCCCCTTAAATTTTTCACTCTTTGTTATATTGCAGCCATTTGCTAAAATCATTTAAGTTAATTTTTTTTCCTCATTAATGTACACACAGCACCCCATATTGACAGAAAAACACAGAATTGTTGACATTTATGCAGATTTATTAAAAAAGAAAATCTGAAATATCACATGGTCCTAAGTATTCAGACCCTTTGCTCAGTATTTAGTAGAAACACCCTTTTGATCTAATACAGCCAGGAGTCTTTTTGGGAAAGATGCAACAAGTTATTCACACCTGGATTTGGGGATCCTCTGCCATTCCCCCTTGCAGATCCTCTCCAGTTCTGTCAGGTTGGATGGTAAACCATTTGGGATAACATTTTGGCTGATTTTATTATGCTTAAAAACAATAATACAACAATAACGCCCTCTACATTAACAGATAAGCTCTGTAAAATGTACACAATAGTGGAGAGAATTATATATTTATGAAAAATGTCTTTAACACAAAGCATGTACAATTGCATTTAAAACCATTGAATTTTTTTGAGGCTGCAATTTAACATGTTTGTATATTTTCTGCAGTGAATATTTCAAATGAAAACACTGCACATTTGTATTCATATTTATTCGATATAAATAAATGTATACCATCTTCACCAGGTAATACAATCTTTTTGACAGGTAAAATTTAAAATTCGATTGTAAATTGAAAATCTAAGAATAGTCTCTCGAATAACACTTCTGCATTTAGCGTCAAAAACCACTGCAACTTCTGGTGCAGCGCAGTGTATGAAAACTGAGAAAATGAAGCACAAAATTAAATCTTGAGAAAGTATTACATGACAGGACAAAGCAATATGAATATGAAACACCTTAACACTAAGGTTATTTAAAGCTTCTGGAACTCGTTACTAAAATGTTATGTTTACTACTGTTAATAGAGTACACAATACTATAATATATCGTAATTTTTGGAGATAAACCGTTATTAGAAATAAGAGTTTACTACTGCCACGGTTTTCTATCAGCAGGCACAGCACTGAGATTTTAGCGGAAATACATATGGAGTCGAAATGCACAGAGTTTAATGCATTAAAATCTCCACTTGCTGCTAGAAGCCTCACCAGCAGGTTGTGCAATTGAGAGTTGATAAAGAGCAGCAGAGAGAGAGGAGCCATTTGTTGTGAGGCTTCTGTCATACCTCCATAAATAATCAGCTGTATGGCCACTATTTTATGACAAAGAATGGACTCACCCTTTCCCTCCTACTGACACCACCTGCATATTGACTCTGCCACGGACTGGTTTGTTCCCAGCCCACTGACCAACAACCATGCCAGCTATTTCCAGCTTGCCACCCTGGGGAGGTATAGACTGGATTCCTAAAAAAAAGTTTCAGAAAGTGACTAAGTGGCACCCAAAGGGCAGTAAATAAAATGAACTAAATGTGCTAAATGGGAGGAAGGTCTAACCTGGGAAGGCCCTGGGCCGGTGCTGGTGGTGATGGTGAGGAGGAAGAGGAGGCATTGAGCCCAGGGGGCGAGGAGGGTATAGAGGATGCATGGGGTAGAAAGGGGGCACCATGGCAGGGGGGAGGAATGCAGGGGGTGGCAGTGGTGGAGGTGGGGGAGGTGGCCGGGACAGGTTGATGCCGTCCAGAATGGCCTGGCGCATCTTCTCCACTCTCGAAACCAGCTCCTCCTGCAGGACAAAGCGTCAAAGGCAATAAAAAACCCTTAAATATTCCCAAATGCTAAACAGGTGTGACTGCATCTATACGTTTGTTACCTGGCCTTCACACATATCAAGTAAGGAGGCTCTGTCTCTGGTGGCTTTAGCTAGCTTGCTCTGGAACAACTTCCCATCGAAAAAGCCCCAAGGGCAGCAGTGGTCCCATGGCAAGGGCTGTCCACATACATCATTCACAAAAAGGGCAGTGTCCACTCCACCCATGAACAGAGAGGCCAGCTGCACCCCACGGTTATCCACCTTCTCCACCTGGTATCAGTGTCAAAGAGAAGAAATATGATCCAACGGCATGTTTGGCATCAGCCTGGTAAATGTCACAGTAGCTTGTCATTTCAGATTTCACAGAGCTCTTTCAAAGCAGATTATTGACACCCTGACAGTTGAAAGACAGCATTCTATTTTAAAGAAATGTTTTGCCTTGAACCTTTTGCTTTATGTGACATATAGTTATTGAAGTTGAGCTGAGCTGTTGAGTCCTTACTTACAAGTTAGTCTTGTCCGAAAACATGCTTTGCCTCAAGGCAAAGAAAAAAAGTGTCAAAATTGCTGTGATTGAACATTTAATAAAGAAACCGTGGAAGATACAAAGATAAAGAGTGCATGGGGTATGTAGTGTGCAGTGTTCAATTCAATGCCGCCTCACGGCTTTTACTGTAATCTGGGCCTGTACAGTTATATAACAACATGCAAATGTACTTTAGTCTGAAACCACAGCTCTCTATCCATCTGCTATATACTCAATAAAAAGTACATCTTTAATTAGAAATAAAAATCTTTAATTAGTTTTCAATCATTTTCTGAGATGCTGCCAACACACACACGTGATACATATATGTATATAGTAATAATAATATATGTATATAGTAATAATAATAGATAATAATCACATTGATATAAACCACAACATTTTTCAAATTGTGCAGTCCTAATGCAAGAAAAAAATCAAATAAAAAAGGCTAGCCCTATTTGCTGGAGGGGGTGGTCACTGTGTGACAGAGTTAATGAGAAATGCGTTACCTTGAGTTCCTGAAGTTGGTCAGGCTCATAGAGCTGGTTGGACACAGCTTGAGCCAAAAAGGCATCAAGCTCATGGCGCTGAAGAATGCGACCCCCCGGCCACTGCATCATATACCTGTAAACACACAATACCGCTCAAGACACCCAGAGCTCCTCAGGTTGAGTGCT